TGATCCGTTCAATTTCACGGATGATCCGGATAATCCGTTTGAATCCGACGGATGTATTTTTTGAGCAATTAACGGATTGATTTTTTGAGATAAATGATGGATGAACGGATGACGGATATCCGCGGATCGCATCTCTACATAATATTTCATTTTAAAGTTTTTTTTTTTTTTTTGTGTATAAAAATAATAATAATAAATGTGTCACAATAAAGTTTTTTGTAAATGATTTTATGAATATGCAATTTTTATCAATTTCGTCAGACAAAAAAAAAATATTACACATGTATCTATATTGTATTTTTATGAACTGGTTTTTGATGCAGAGTAAGGATAATAAGTGGTGTTATTAGTTAATTAACGGTTGATTTAACTTGTTGTAAAAAACCAAACTTTTAGCTAGTTACCCAGGTCTTCACACAGTCCTTGGCAAATTGTTAACACAATACTGTCGGTAAAGTGTCCTGTCGGTAAAGTGTCTTGTCGGTAAAGTGGGTGTCGGTAAAGTGGGTGTCGGTAAAGTGTCCCAGACCCCTCACAAATATATTAATTATGTAGACTGATTAGTGAATGGGGAAATTTGTTGTTTTATGAGGAGGCAAATTTACTTTCTACAATTGATAATGATGATGAATTTGAGATGGATGATTTATTATTGAATCAAACACATCCTGCGTTAGACAATACAGCAAAATGTCAAATAAAAAATATTTTCGTTGATAATCTGGAAAGATAGCACCCCGTGACATTTTTATGGTTTGTCGCGCATAATTAGAAAATTGATATTTGTCACGGGGTGCTATCTTTCCAGATACAACTCAATGGGAAAAAATTCAAGTGGCACATTTCTCTATTAATTAATGATTGGTTGATTTCGGGTGTAACTTGAAACCCGCCAATTCTGCCGATTGATTATAGAAATCATTTCTAAATTTGAACAATTCAAAATTTAATATTAAATTCAGCTTTCCCAAAAAAACATAGTAAAGTTGTTTTAAATTTTTAGCTCAACCTTAAAAAAAATTTTTTTAAAATTGTTTTTATAAATAAATAAAAAAGAAGAAAATGTCCACTACAGGCTCTCCTTGGTTTACTGGATCAGTTATGGAAGCGGTTAATCTGGCAACAACCAAGAATGTTATTTTCATGGTCTACATTTATGGTACTGTTATAATTATAATTAGTTAATAGTACTGTTTTATTACTTAATTGATGAAAATTAAATTTCAAATTTTTTTCTCAATTATTAGACGAAAATGAGGAAAGTCAACAAATGAATAATATAACTGAAAATTCAAATGTAAATAATTATTAATTATTGAGTTTAATTAATCAAGATGATTGTCTATTTATTTATTATTGTTATTATTTTCTTATTTTTTTTTTTTCTTTCATTTTCACAAATTAAAAAAAAGTCCGCAAAAACCATAAAAGATAAGACTGTCGCACTTCGGATATCTCGTGATTCAGAGGAAGCTATCATGTTTGGTCAACTTTGTGTGTATCGGCCGTTTGGATCTATTTTATATATAATTATTTTTGGCCTAAAAAAAAAAAAATAGGATCATGCATATTTAAATATATATGACTTTATGATTTTGATTCCAAACACGCTCACACACTTGCAAACATAATTTCTTTTGATATTTAGTCACTATAACAAAAGTTCCAAGCATTTATCTTATTCGGTAAATCATAACTATTTGATTTATTTATTTTATTTTTCTTAATGGTTGAGCTAAAAATTTAAAACAACTTTACTATGTTTTTTTGGGAAAGCTGAATTTAATATTAAATTTTG